GGGCCGGGATACTGCCAGGTTGCCCAGGCCTAGACAAGGGAAGTCGAGAGGCAGAGGTCGGGTTCGAACCACGGACCTTCCGGTCAGTAAATTCGCGCTCAAACCACTTGAGCCATCTCGCCCCAGCCAGCTAGACTGCTCTTCGAAGTGTTCGATCCATCTCTCTATTGGACGTTTTTGCGAGTGAATTAATGAGCCGCTTTTTACTCTTATCGTTTCACTGACCGTTGATTTTCTGGATCCAGTCACTCGTATCACTTGATGTAGGGCACTGCTGTTTCCGGTAGCAAAAGTTTTCGCCAACACCCGAGCTTTTGATGTCTGCCGGAGCTGTCGATATTTCCTTAGGTTTTTCACTATTTGGCGTTTGAGGCATTTGAGCGCGCCTTCATACTCGTTATCTTCTGGTATGGACTTCCTAGCATTAATCATGACCAACGGTCTCGACGATTTGCAGTGGTCTTTTCGCGGAGTCGGAGAAGTCTGTCAGACTGCACTGAAATCCGCTGGCGTAGCTCCTTACACGTGGGCATGCCTCATCAACATACTCGCAATCAGCTTGTTGGTTTACTGTAGAGGGTAGTTGATTGGACTCACATCGATATTTTTGAGCTATGGTAGATTTCGAAGATGGTGGATTGGCACGCTTCTTGTTGACTTGTGAGGGCGTGAGGGGAAACGAAGTGTCAGATATGCATGCATCGTGGCATGATCGGAATCAAATTGTGTACCCCAGAAGAAACGGCAATCTCAAACCGTGGCGAAGAGGTATATCAAATGTAGTCCCTGGCAGATTATATGACTCCAACCAGCCCCTTCGATTCTCCAGGAGATCATTCTTCTTTTAGTATTCTTTTTGTACTGTTTGTTACTCGATGTATTGCTGTTGTACCGAATAAAGCAATTATCGACTCTGAAAAACAGCCCTTTTAGGTCTTTGTCACATCGACCTTTGGCTGGAACAGTGGTACAATATGCTTGTTCTTCTTCTTCCAATATGCTATCTTCCAGTTAATCTATTTTTTTTCGTATTAGGTTCTCCATGGTTCTGTGGAACCTACTCATTGACCTTAGGATGTGGTAACGACGATTCATGCAAATACTCGACTCAATATAATAATGCACATCCAATGAGTTTGTTCACAACGTCATGTGACCCGAGGCCGGACTTAGGTTTTCTAGAACAATGAACTGAACAGTGTATAGCCACGAGTTTATAAACGTCAGCTGTTAGCTTCCTGTTTGTTTTCCTGTTTTCGCTTCATCCACTTTTGTTTATGTGTGCCGTATGTCGTACGTTCTGGCGTTAGATATTGACTACAGGTTTCCGGGACAGCAGCCGCAGATGAAATGTGAAATATTGTTCTACCTAGCTAAGGACAGAAGCGTTCAGACATGTGGAGTACTGCACAGGTTCTGGGGACTCCAGAAATACAAGTGTACTCAGACCGCGAACTGTCATGAACCACCTGTTCGTGTGAGGTTTGACTGGTGAGATTCTTAGGACAGTGTGAGGTTCCGCAGACCTTGGCAGAAAAGATCCTCGGTCGTAGGTCTAGTCATCTTTTAAAGCCTATTGTATGGACACTTGTATCGCGTTTCTAAAACTGTGAGATCAGTTCGTAAGACCGATTCAGTGTGTCATTGAAACACGTCTACACTTGAAGGAAACTGTTCACCAGTCACTGGGATGCTCAAAATTGATGCTTCTAGCATGCACACTCCAAAACTCCAAATACTGTCACTCACTCTATTGTCCCGAAAATAGAAAATCGGGTGGTATTTGAGACAAAAGCAGCAGTGATGCACAATCAACACTGCAGAAGTTTTAGTGTTCTTCCCCGTTCCGAAGCCTAGAAATCCGCCTCTTCAGGATAGGGCCGTACTTCGGGTCTACGTACTGGATCGCCGGTTGACTGTCTCTAAAACGTTCAGACTCCACGCATTATCCCTCCCTTACGTCCTCGGTGCGTTCCCCCAATGATAGAGGGGTCCCTGTGAAGAAAGATCGGACTTTGCCTCAATTCGCACCGCGTCCCAACGAGACTTCAAGAATCTAACCCTCGTAGTCGGTTCTCCTTGTAAATCCTCAATAACTTCTTGAAATGAGAAGCTTCAGTTGTTGCACGTTATGTTGTTCTGACCGCATTTTTGTTCTAAATGTCAACCTTAATTTTGGACATCACCAATCACTTGGGAACTATTTCACTTGGTTTTCTCAGCTCTACTCAGTTCAAAGTCCCTTCGGCTTAACTGGATGCACTACTTTGTTAACTGTGTTCGGCAATACAGTATGCAACGCGCGGTAGCACCGGAATAGTTGATTATTAAGCATCTAATGGAGCTAAGGTCATCGCGTCGTACGTGCAACTAGCTCAGTGTAGGCTCATCCAGTGACCAGTGAAATTTGTTCGGTTTCTTGCCTCAGTTGTACTAGTTCCTTGTTTAAGCCGGTGCATCAGCTTGGCGATTACCACCATGTGTTTGCGCTAAGCTGTTAGTTGTACCATCGTACAATGTCTTTCCTGTGAAGCAAATATAACAGTAGCCTGCACAGTCGGCAATCAGTCAACCGTGGCAGCAAACCTAACTCATTTGTTGTGTGAGCCTTCATTCTGAATGATGTTCCGTGGTTCAGAGGAAATCGTCATATTGCTAAAATCTTAGCGTTCTTCCCAAGTTTCGACCAACCAGCTGCGCTTAAGCTCAGCAATAAGTGCCACAAAATCATGTCCTATTTGTTTTCGAGCTCAGGTCAGCCTCCGATTTGCCAGAATCCAATGTTTCAACATACGCAGATCAAATCTAATCGACTAAGTATCATATATCGTATTGCATGTCGATTTTGAAAGTAGGTCTACCATTTGTCACCAAGCCTAGCCACGTACTCCTATCTGGACCTTGACATCTCGACAGTAGATTGCATACACAGGACCTACCCAGTCCGTGTTATTGACAATCGTTAGAATGCATCAGACATAGTCTTTTTGAAGCCTGAGCATATCAAAACAGACTGCTGGTATTTGGACGATGATTGACTCACTAGCTAAAAGCGACTATTGGCACCCAATGAATTCCCACAATAAACAATGATGTGATCCACGTATAACTTGTATTCCACGCCACTTTTCCATCCCCCTTCCAACTCACTGTTGTTATCCTATTTTCCATTTTAGCAATTTCCCATCACCCCGAATAGACCAGAATCGAGTAATTTTCAACGATTCTGTTTGGCTTACTTTAGAGGATCCACTGGTCAGTGAGCACCAGCGCGTTTCCCGAGGCGATGGTGACCACGCACACACAAAAACCGCGCGTCCGAAACCAAAAGATTTATATCTTACTGTCACCTATACATTGGAGGTAAGTGAACTTTTCCAGGGATTCCACACTCTCTCTGTGTCACGCAGCGATCAACTGGATACTACTCTCCACTCAGACTTCGATATGTTTTCCTTTATTTATTTTGTTACTCTACTTCGTATCTGAACATCCCTTTTAAACATTCTTTCCTTTCTAGAATGAAAGCATGGGAAAGAAGATTATCCAGCTGTTCAAAGACCAGATTGATGTTGGTTGATTTTCTATGACGCATTCTTGTACACATTTTCTATCTTCCGAAGAAATGTATATATTTGCTGAACCTGTGGGTCTCTCCACTTTATCGTAAACCTCACATAAGGCCAGTAGTACTGAACCTATGGAATTATAGCGGTCTGGTGATGGACCTGGAGCCAATCAACCATCGTTTGCTGACTCATTCCGTGTGATTAGAATGTCCGTGAGAATGGGTATCCTGTTCACAAATAGATTTCTAGCCCTCACACAAAGTGGCACTATTAAGTCTTTCACTCCCTATTGTGGGTGCCTGTAGAGTGAATGTTTCGCCGCCTTCGGTTTTTCTGCTCAGTACGCTTGGGGAAACTATTTTGGTGACAAGCCAAAATCGGGTGAATCCGGTTCTTATTAGACTGGGTTCGTGATCCTCTCTTCGGTGTCTTGTGCGAATTCAAGCCATGTATTCCAGCAGAAATACGGCTTTTTCTCTAGTAGCATTTGGACAGAGAGCTGGGTGTCATTCCTGTGTTCTGGATCCGGTCCTAACATCACTTGAGATGCCCATAGTTTATAGCTACGAGGACTGCTTCGATAACCATTAATGTGCAAGGCTAATTCAGTCTGGTCGGATGAATAACTGTGAATTACCCGTACACAACTTGGCTCAAGTGTTAAGGTGCCAACTTACTGGCCGGAGAACTTGCGGTTCGAATCCGACCTTTTCATCTCGACTGCTCCTGTCTAGGCTTGGGCAACCTGGCAGTATCTCCACATTCGTTCTTCTTTCGGGTAGCATGTCAGCTAGGCACTGAAAGGGTACTTCAGCTGAACAATTATATTAGTTATTAATATGTACCCTCATTGACAAGGCGTCATCAGAAATCGCCGGTGTTCATCGGTACGTACAGTGCGGTCCAAAGGTTGAGTGGTGTCCACACAGTTGTTAACTATGGTTTAGTTGCTCATCTGTCTTCCGAATGCATTTGGTTCTGTGAAATTTAGAGGTAGCAGCCCGAGGGAAACTTGCTACTTAAACTTAGTGCCAAAGTACGGATTGAATAAACATCCGCTTCGTTCAGGTCTTGGATGAGTACCTCTCAAGTATCGGCGCTTGGTCAAGGGGTTTTCCAGTCGTTGCTAATGGAAGTCAAAACGTCACGTTCGATCAAAACAACAATTCTAAGACTACGAACACAGTATCGATCGGGTCAAGAGACAAGCACACCGCGAATTGACGTTGACGGGTGTGCGCGCCACACGATGATGTTCAACGGAATAACCGAGGGTAGAATCGAGCTGGGCCGGACGCATACAGTTGATGACTATAAACAAAAGTACAACTTCAGGACTGGCTGCTTTTGGTATATCGATACTGACGGAAATAACTTGTAGCTTTATCTTGAATCGTCCTCTCTACGTATGTTCTTTACGAAAGAACGACTGTTTATCTGCACTCCGTAATGAGACCGTGTCAATACGTAGGATGTCCCGCGCAGCAGCTTGTGGCTCAGTGGTTGCACCAGCGATGATAGGATGGACACGCAGAGGTTTAGTACGTCGTTCCACTCAAGTGTGCATAGAAATCAAAGGTATGCGACTGAGAAACGATTAGAAATAGGATTAAGGTGGTCATGGTGAACGTAACGAATTGGAAGATTTATGCAATAACAAAGCAAATTATTCGAATTGCATGACTAAAACAAACAGAATGTTCTTTTTTAATAGAGGTTTTCATCCTGTCGGTGGAGCCAATCCATGTTTAAAAGTTGAGAACCACTACATAAAGCTGGTGCATCCTCGGAAGTCACCAGCATTGCACCTTACACGATATTCAGAGTTTCGAACCCACAAACTTCTGGCCGGTGGTTGAACACTTGAGCCTCTGGCTTCCAGTGTCTGATCAGCAGTATGATTAGCTCTAAATTAGGCACGACAGTGCCACTCATCCTCCAGTAAAGGGAAAACCAAATCACTTGTTCACGTATTGCCTGGCATGTCTAGTAACTAAGCCGCTTTTGGTGTGCTGAAGCCGCTCCGCAGTCATCTGGTTAATAACATAGTCAATACATAATCTACTTGGCTGTGCCAGAGTTTGAGTCTTGAAATCCAAGCTCCTGAAATTGTTTCCAGATGTGAATCTTAATTCTATTTCATTGTTCCTGTTCACCAAAGAAGCTTCATCCCAATTCGCCACAAACCTAGGTCAGTATATGGCTAACTTCTTCAAGAAGAGGCTCGCGAGGACGCCAAAAGGGTTCATCTGGTGGGTTGTAATGCACATCCAATAAACGTCAGGTTTCGGTTTAAAGACGTAGACCGACGGATCCAACGTGCCGAAATCTCAGTATGTTACGTGTCAGTTTAAATCAAGATTGGTGGATTCTGGCGATCAATAAGAATAGATACCATCTCAATAAAGTAAGTTTACGGGGACCAAAACTACTTGAACGCGACAAAGAGCTTTCAATTTTTATCGCGTGACAGACGCTCCTGAACGGTGCTGTTGGACTGGCGTGATTGCAGAGAAATTGTCACAATGTCCAAGCGGTGGCTTGGAAGTTTATTTCGTAGGTTACAGAAATGCATTCAGTAAATGAGAATTGATCTGTTGAGCCTGTTGCTGAAGACTACGGTAAAGTGAGACAATACTTACCGAAACGCCGAAATATTCACCATCTACAGATGCCACCGGAACCGTAGTGTTGGTTGATGGGTTTTGTTCCAAATGAATCAGATCCATATCGAAGTAGACTTTCCACAGTTGTTTACAAATGGACTATTTATGTGTATGTTATGCTAACTTGGACAATAGGGATGGGTTTAACCACGATCAAAGTTGCCAAATTTGACATTCCTGAGGGTTGCGTCCGTTTCCAAACTAGGTATCTATCAAAACTTACAAAATAGTTGCCTTTGAGTGTTAACCCATATGTTACAAGTTAGTATGTTGATTGGTTTTCATTAGATGAAGTAGTGAATAAGAGATAAGCAGAACACCTTCGCCATTTCCGTCTTTTCGAAGATCATTAAAAGTTCAAGGAATAATAACTTCATGAGCAGGACGACCAATCGCGTCACTGTTGTATACGATTCACTGGTAGACTTTACTCAAGACGAACTTAGCGTGACAGCGGGGAAGATAGCCAAGACACTGCGTACGATTACACCCGTCAATCTGTATTATCCCAATGCCGCTAAATGGTATTCAAGCTTCGGTCATGGGTCGGAACCAATTACCAGACAACTATCCTAGGCGGAAAAAGACAAGAAATCATATGCTCACAGTCAGGTGATGACCCGTACACTGCGGAAGCAAAGATAGATAGTTTAACTGCCGGGTCGATATCCTGCTGATGTGTGCTCACAACAGTAATGAATGCATGTCTGTCGATGGAAATCGTGGCATGTATTCCTGCTAGACAAAACGAGAACACTGAGATTATGAAGAGTGGTCAGATTGTCGAAGTAGCGTGGTTAGGGAAGCATTGTGTAAAAGGGGTGAACCTTTTTGCTAGCTTGTGTTCTGTTACCTTGAGGAATGCAGTAGATCTCTAAAAGCTGTCTCATGTTGTGCCAATTCGGAGGCCGTCCTGAGGTTGCTCGAGCGCAAGAGTGCGTCTCAGAGGGTAATCGTGGGAACGCAATCAAACAAACTAATGTGCATAAGCTTCCATGAATGTAAGCTACAGACATGGCGCTCTAGAGGACACATTAAATGGATAGTCAACATTGTTACTATTACTGCAGTTCCGCTAATCCTTGGTGTGGAAATAAAGTAGTCTCACGATCACCATGACTTCGAGAACAACCGGAACAGGTTGTTTGGCCATGGATCCGAAACTCCCTGCTATTTCGTTGGATGCGCACTGCTGATGCTTCCCTTTAGGGATGAAACAGCTGTGCAACGCTTCTCGGTTTTCCAGCATAAACTAGTTCAACTTGGAGGATGAAAAATCAGTTGGTGATTGCCAAATCTCCTCACATTAGTGGTAGTTTTTTAGATACGCCAATTGTCAAGGTTCGCACGATTAACAGTCGTGAATTACAGTTCGTAACGGTGATCATGATGCTCAGTTTTTCATCATCACTATCACGAAGCCCTAGTAAACAGTGGAAAGAAAAGGGGAGGGGTATTTTTGCGAAGCAACCTTGAGTCTCAAGAAACACTGTCAAAAGTTAGTTGTCCATAATTTTGAACGGCATTAAAATAAACGCTTCTGACAAAATTGTCGAAGACATGTGCCATCAGTGGGACTTGCCTGACGTTGTTTGAGAACCTCACAAAATAAGCCTACTGCACAACGATTGGCGAAATTTCACTAGGCAGCCCAACTAGGAAATGAATGCATGCCCGTCACTGAGGTCGGTTGTGTCCAACTTTCTGCGGGGTTTCCAACGGGCTTTGAGCTAGATAACGCAGACCCCAACCAGGATGGCGCGAGGATCCTGCAGCATTCACTTTTACTGCAGCCATCTTCATTTCATGCGGCTATGTCATCGTGTCTCCCGTGAGGCTGTCGCCCACGATCCTCTAGAAAGGAAAACAACACTGTCTTGAGTAGACGGTGTTTGAGCATACGCATTACATGCTCTAACCACATCAACCTGGTAATTTAAATCTGCTTCAGTAGCGATGCGGATCTGTTAGCCAATACCATCTCACGCATCACTTCATTACATACTCGCTGCTGACAGCCATCTCTTTCTCTGGAAACACCGGTGGTCAAAGAGATCCACAGATCCGGGGGGTCAATACTCGCAACCAAATAGTAAGATGCATCTTACGTTTGCTTTGTACACACGGTCCTTTTGCTTCAACGAAATTCCGTTCTGAGGCCACAAATGACGGTATTCGGTGAACGCTGTCGATAACTTGATGGTTTGCTCAATAATTTCGTCTGTCACAGTACAGTCACGGCTGTTGTGGCTGGCAAGATACGTGAATCGACCAACAAACCCGAGTTCTTCCTAAAGTTTTAGAGAAGCGCAAGAACATGGGACATCCAAAAATAGAACGCTGTACTTTGGAGGTTAAAAAACACATTGAAGTATGAATCAACCTTTGATTTTCCGTTTGAATCCATTTGCCTGGA